TGTTTCGGCATGACGCCACGGCGATTCATATCCCCCAATTCTATCCCACAGAGGCGGCAGCGGCATTCGGAAAAAGTTTGGCCAAAGAAGCGCAGCGAGGAAACGGCATGAATTGGAAAGTCTCCACATCCAGAGGATTGGAAAGCAGCGATGTCACGACCATGGGCGAACACGTCCCTTACAATGTCGCCAATGCATCCAACGACACGGAAGCCTACTTTGACGGTGTCCGTCGAGAATTTCAACAACGACGGCGGAAACAGTCGTCTGTAATGCCCACGCTTTGGCCACTCGATCAATTGCGGTTGGAACTGGATGAAGCTTGGACGCAAGGGGCCGGTCTGGCACGAGAGAGTCAGGGACAAAAGCGTCCCTTTGGAGGTGGTCTCCCCAGAGTCATGATGGGTCCCACGCGATGGAGAAAAGGATTTGTTCATGTCGATGAAATGGGGCCACTCAATCCACATCAAGGTCTTTTTAGTGCCAACATTTACCTCCAGCTACCCAGTGATAGTAACGACCGAAAGCAACGGGCTCTGGAAATTTGGCCTCTGGGGATTCGAAATCGATGGGATTGGTACCGAGTGAGTTCAGTCAGCAAATAATGCAAAAAACAACCAATTATTGGTGCATTGCAGTCTTCTTTCTTCAGTTTATTTGAAGCTCATGCCTTTGATTCCAACTTACTTTACTAACTTTTTCAACAGAACGCACTTCTCTTGTCGGGCCTTTCCTCTCAAGATCCGGAAATGCAAGTGATGCTTCGTGCCAAGATGGGAGAACCCAAATCAGTGGATGTAGAACCAGGTGATTTGGTCTTGATTTGTACGCAACGGCCCCATGCCGCAGTTGGGTTTCAGCAAGGGACTCGAGTGTCCTTACAGTGCTTTCTCCAATACGATGGCGCGGACAAGAGGCTGCTGATTGACACATAACATAGTTGTCTTGGCTGGCTAGATTTGCTTGTACCTATTGTAGGTAGGTGGCGAGTAAAGGTTGCAACATTGGTTTCAGGATTGAGGAGGAATTCCGCATGACAATCAGCGGACGCGATCGCGGATCACTTCAACAATGCCACTACAACATGTACTTGGATTGGCTATGAAACCTAGTTTTTACCATAGACAACACAAGAATCAAATCAAACGAATACGGTATCCACCAGATTGATTGAATGATCCAATCATACGTACCGTACTGTACCGGTAGCTACTGTGGCAACTCGACGTTTCTACCAACACTGCCGGCGGTTCCTCTTTCAAAATTCGTACCGGTACATGTGCACCATCTCTTGCCTCGATTTGCCGGTAACGTTAACCAAGCACTTGCACTCAATGTCTGTACTCAACCACATAGCGGGTGTCTCCATTTTGCCATCAGGAACGAAATACCTAACTGGCTTACGGCCTACCACCTAATATCCGCATTATTATTATTGTTATTACACGGGCAGGACGCTTAGACGCCAACGCAGATCCGCAACCGTCAAAGGGTGGAGCATCCACATTACCCTGGACTGCCGCAAGCAAGGACTGCCAAGATTGTATGTTTGACCATGAACATCACTCACGGCAGAGAAGTCGTTTCATGCTGCAATGATTGGTGTGGGAGAGCAGGAATATGAAGGGTTTGTGGTTCTGATGGATCCAACAAGGAGAAAGAGTCGGTCATCAAGTTTCCCAAAAGATCGCTTGTGAAAGTCATGCTGTTGGTCATGGTGGCACTCTCTGGATTCGATTGTTCTGCTCCCAGTGGCTGAGGTTTGAGAAACCACGAGGCGATGATTCGTCGGTGTCTTCGGTCGCAGTAAAAAGATGCCATGGTGGCAGCAGCACCAAACCCTAAGAAGAGCTGATACAGTGTACAACCGAAGAGTATCTTTTCCAAGACGAATGGCAAGCCACTGGAAGCAGTGACCAGGGAAAAGAGGCTGCAAGACAATTTGTTGAAGACTATAGGTCACAGGACAGCGCTGCAGAAAACTCGCGACAATGACAATTACAAGTACTCTTCTCAGTCACAAAAAGAACAGGCAGAAGCAGAGATGGAGGCAATGGTAGCTTTTGACATTGCTGTTCGAAAGTTCCAGGATCGACTCAACTCCACCAAGCAAACCAACGACAATGGGTCTGACAGCCTGTTGGAAGATCCCAATCAACCCAACCACAGGAAGAATCCTCAACTCAATTCGCATTGTAAAAGCTGCTTCGTCGACGCTTTCCGTGATCTCTCGATCCGTGGCGGGCTGCCGTCCTGATGGATACCGCATCCATGTTGTGCTTATCCTGGTTACATGTATCCAAGAGGGTCCTGTCCTCGAGATGATATGATGATCTGTCCTGGAATAACAGGGTGCAGCGGTCACTACGGTATCCTACCTTTGAGGGCAATGAACCCATCATTATCAGGTTCCGTGAGCTCGCTTGCTTTCGCCTTCTTTGATTCTCCGCCTCATTGCCCAGCGGTGAGATTGGGGACAGCTTGGTTTGAAATTGTGGAGCTACCCGTGCTGCCAAGGCTCTTACTATGAAACCCCGCCCTTTTCCTTGCTGACCCCAACCGTATGCGACCAAGGCCGGTTGCGGATGATTGCCTTTGGGTCAACAGCAACAAGGCGCATTCCATCTTTTTTAACGCGAAATTATTTTTTGTCCAGCGCAATGGAGGGCCTGGTCCAAGCCTACAATTCACACAAGATTATGAGCAGTACGAGTTTTTTTGGAGCAGTTATTCTGTGCTCGAGTGGAGGCTGTGCCGGGATTGATTGATTCAAGACGCAAAAGCACAACATATTGCTGCCGCCGACATTCCTTTTGTCAAGAAAAGATCTTGAACGGAGGAGGAAACGGAACGAGCAAGATCACCGCTGCAGATCTTTGCCCTTGGCGAGGCAGCGACGCCGAAGCTTACCGAGCGACTAGCTGGCTGGTGCTAGCTAGTATGCAAGAGGAAAACAAAGATGCCATCCGAAAATGCAATCATCAACATGTTACTGCCGAGGTGGCTACAGAGGTGATTCTAACGGAGTGGCAACCTTTGGTTTGGTGGTTAGCCAGAAGCGACTGAACTTTCTTTCCTCCTTCTCTCCGATTTGCTACCCTTCTTTAGCAACACGGCTGCCTAAGGGCTACAGCATCAACAGAAAAGAATCGTGAAGGCTTCTCATGGTCCTCTTCCCTTCCACAGAAGCAGTTTGCCCAACAGAATCCGATGCTACCCCCCACATGACCCAACCATCAATCATTACTCCCGCAAATGGCGACAATTGAAGCGACAAAAAGCGAGCAACGCTGCAACCACTATGCATAAAGGAAATGCTTCTGCACGGCTTCGCATCGTCTTCTACTCTGATAGAAATTCCGCCCTCACAGATGCTCAATTGATCGTTGGGTTCTGGTCAAGCTTAGATTCAGGGGCTGTAGCTGGGCTTTGCATTTGCTTGCAGGATACAGCTTGCACACTGCAACCACTGACATCTGCAGTTTATCTGCCAGATAAGGACCTTTAATAAATTTGCTGTACCACCACACTTCTTTTCTTTGGCGACATCTGGCCCACCGGACGGGAAGAGCTGGGGCTGCAATCAAGATGAGAAGCTGTACTTCAAATCTATCTCGCCAAACCGAAGTGCGAAAGTCTCCGCAGCAGTTCCCAGCCAGAAGCATTTCACGGACTGCTGAGATGTGGGGCTTCTTTGGATCTGTTCGCAATGATGGGGATGAAGTTCCAACAGAAGTTGTGAGAATCAGCGATCAAAGGTGCTTCTCATATCACGTATTACGTCAGTTTCCTGTACAGCTGTTGTATCACAGCTTCTCAACCAGCTTCAATCCGTGAAAGGGGGGCGTTATGCTCCTATGACGCTGAGTCATGGCATTGCATTAAGCTTTTGAATTGGACGGGATTCCGTTCTTATGCCCACAGCACCATTGCGAACGATCGCTTAAGACTGCGAAATGACTGTGGGACAAACTATGGTCGCAAGTCACAGTACTCCTAAATATAGTTTATCTGTGCTGGTAATTTGGAGTACTGACAAATTCGTAAATTCGTTCTTCCGGTTCCCTTTCTGAAAAATCTGACGACTACAAAATGAGAGCAAGCTTCTGCGCGACCCTCTAACCTTTGACACCAATTCCAAGCTCTGTGATGTGTGATGTGCGCGAGCTTCGTAGAACTACTGTAGACTACGATGTTGTTGGAACTTGGAAAAACGTACAGCCCAATTTCCCTAAAAGCACAACCGAACAGATCTTGGTGAGCGATCACAAAAGCAAGCAGCCAAAAGCAATGCGGTATCTGGTACGTCTGCACTATCTATCCCGAGCCAACACAAATACAAAACCGCCAAAAAGAGGTAACAAACAGAATCCATAATATCTTTTTACAATGAGCCATCATCCCGTAAAACTCGAGTGCCTGGACCCTGCTACCCTCAACAATGATGGTGTGGCGTGGATGTTGATGGGAAACAGTGAAGAGGCCATCGTGTCGTTCAAGCACGCCCTGACAGCCATGAAGACGTCACTAGTCCGCATACCGCAGTCTGCCGTCTCTGATCCCCGCTCCAGTACTCTATACTCATCAGTGGACATTCCCGTGTGTGTGGACAAGTACTTTCTCTATTCTCGGGTGTGGGTGTTCCCGTCCTACGACGGGACGATTGCGGAGCAAGATTATCCCCTCTTCAGCTCCATGATTCTATTCAATATAGCTCTGGTACACCACATCCGAGCATTGGAGGGTAGCAACGAGCAAGCCCTTCGTGATGCATTATTCTTCTACACAGTCAGCTTGCGCATTCAGGCATCAGTCCAGCCGTACCTACAGAAACGTGTCATTGCGCCAATCAAGCTGGCAGCGCTCAACAACCTCGCCATCATCCACTACGAGCAAGGAGAAGCCAGGAAAGCACATGCAATATTAGGAGAAGCGCGGGCGCTGTTGTCTCCCTCGGTGGTTCTGGTCGATGGTGGCGATGACAAGTTCAACCAAGATGACTTTGATGGGATCACACTGAATGCCGTCATGATGAAATGGACCTTTGCGGCACCATGTGCTTGAGAGTTGCTACTCACACCCACTCTCGTCTATCCTACATGCCCTACCCACATACACACATGCCTACGTGTACTGCCAATCCATTTCTGATGACTTGTTTGACTGCTACGGATCATCTGTACTGCCTGTACTCTGCATACACTATCTATCTATTTGTACATCTATAATATACATACGTAAAAGCAAATCATCTTGCTGCGCTACACATTTATCTGCTTCGCTAACTAGCTAGTTGTATACCGGAAGATAGATTCGATTCAGTGCATGGGAACAGCAATTCTAGGTACCAGGTACCCGTGCCGGCTTTAGGAACGGCTGGTGTCAGGGGTCTGATAACAGATCCCGAACTCTGCTCTCTTACCGTATCGGTATCCTACACCATCCTAGCTAGGAATCCAGCCACCACAATTCTACTATTGACAAGCCCAGCACTGTTTCCGTCATGGTGATTCACGTACAGTTACCAGAGCCACCGGCAACGGTATGGTACAGTACTTTCTCGAACCAGTGGAGGTGTCAAGGGCTGCACTTGCCTGCAGATGTCTGGGAGCTCTGTTTGGTTGGATTGAAAAACCTATGGGTGGATGTATCCGACACCGTTCGGGTATCCTTTTCAAATGTATGTATGATACCACCCGCGTGGATGGGGTCCGAAATGTATGCCTCTTGTGTTCACGTGTTCACACCTGTGTGTACCTGGTACATCCGGGTGGGATGATAACCATCGTTGAGTTGCCGGAAATTGTTTGTGTGTTGTATCTTAAACATAAGTTCTTGCTCCCTAAACCTTGGATTTAAGTAAAATCACGAGTGGGATCATCGCTGCTGGCGAAACATCTCGATCCGTGTGAACCCCAAGTTGGCTTTTTGTGATTGTTGGTGCAGTGAAGGCTTTAGTGTGATACTGTAGTTTGCCCTTTCGTCCTAGCAAAGCCCGCCCACTTATCTTTTGAATCTGTTTTGGGCTCAAATACTTGATGCGCAAAAGAAAATCCATACCGAGATCACGATTGCTCATTGAGCATGTTGCAATTATGGAAGGTCCGAGAGTGATCCGATACAAACTTTACATGTGTGTAGAGACAGGCAGGAAACGATGCAACTACGGAGTAAGGTGGAGCTTGGTTTGGCAGTGGTCCAACTAGAGCACTACGTGTGGCAGCAAACAACCCTGTTCTCCATTGTATTACCATGTAAGAGTGGAACTGGGAATGCCAATTTGTTGAGGCGTGGCTAAGTTTGTGGGGAGCGGGCTTTGTAAGAGTTGGAGATGAGAGGGGTTTTGGAACCAGGATCAACCAATAATGGCACATAAAATACTTTCACTGAGGCTGGCTGTTCCGGTAGCACGTGTGGACTATCCAGGAAACCAGTATGGCCGGTCCCAGCCAGATAACAATGCATTGCTAACAACCTTGCCAAAGCACATTGTAAAGATACCAGTTTGCCCTTTGGAAAACAAGACCTATACTACACCAAAATATTTGAATGGGTTGCTCCAACGCCTTCCGTGGCCATTCGAAGATTCGAAGCACGATTGGTTATCTCCGTGATTGAATTCATCATCCGCTCACAATTTGCCTCCGACGCAAATTCGATATTTCACTAACTTTCAACATGAACCTGTTCTTGGTTGCTGTATTGGCTATCACTCTATCGTTCACTGACAAGGCTTCTGCTTCAGTTTTACGAGGACTGAACCAAGCTCTATCTTCGTTGTTTGTGGACCCTGGAGATATCAAGTACGTGAAAAGCTGACAAACCCGGAAGCCAACTTCATAGTTTTTTGTTGTTTTTGCCTTGCCTCACTGCGCTTTGCTCTTGCCTGTCAGCCTCAATGACGAATTTGCACCTTCCGTTTCACCCTCGATCACTCAATCAGAGGCACCATCAATATCGCCTGCTCCTACAATTTCACCTGCGCCCACCCCCTCTCCAACGGAGACGCCTGTGAAACAAGAGTACTTCGCGGGTAATGGAAATGGGAAGACCTTCATGGTCGAGATCCTGTATGACCAGAATGCATATGAAAACTCGTGGCATATATTTCGAGGAACTGGTGTGCTAGAAGACGCGATTTACTCCGTAGATTTTGGTGCTGTGCAGGACTGGGGAATGGTGAGGACCACCTTTGAGAACATGCCCACAGGACAATATACGTTCGTCATGGCGGATGTTGGAAATGATGGCATTGATGGAGGTCGAATGGCCATCTATGAAATAGACGGTGGATTGCAAACGCTTGTTTGGGAGCATGGAGGTGACTTCCAATTCATGGTGGAGAAAGTGTTCTATGTTACCTAACCAAGTCAAGTCAGTGACGTCCAAACAAAGCGCGAGATTGATTTGGACCAGTATGTACATGTAGAACTCTATTAGAATAAAACTATGAACTACACACAAACTTTGTATTGTATCGGTCTCGCCATGACTAGCTCGTTCATAATCAGCACATGGCTGGCAAAAACGGCCGAACTGGAAACTAGCTATTGGGTCAACCAATGGAATCAGACTCTGACATGGGAAGCAGTGTTCACGTTACTGCGTATTAGAAAATGCATCCATCCAGATTGGGGGATCTTTGAGTTATTTGGTAGAGCTCCGATTGCTTTTGGTAGGAAGAGCTGAACTAGCCTTCTAGCTAGGAAAAGATGCAGATGGCACTGGAGTGTACCCATTATCAAGCAAATCTGCTTACCACATCCTAATGAGAAGCAACGGGTAGCAAATTCGGTCTGGCTTTCAATCCCCCGGCAAAACCTCAAGAATCCGATACCAGTATCCGACAACAAAGCCAGTAGGCTGGCTACCACCTCAAAGGCAAAAGAGCCAGTACGGTAGCTTTCAACCCTCAAGCAAACTATTCCGTCACCGCCTCTCTCCTCATCGTCTCCGCCGCCGCCAAAGATGTCAAGCAAAATCAAGCGAAACATCCTTACAAGATTGTGACTCTACAAGATCAAAAGTCCAGCCGGGTGGCAAGATTCTTCGGTGCTTAGAAGAACATTCCTTGCCATGCGCTCTAAATCTAGCTCTCTTTTAATCTTCTTTACATTAAAACTGATAGTAGACTCTGTATTTAGAGACGACCGACGCTCGGATTATTCCCTGGCCACTTTTTCTCTCAAGAATGAAAAATGCCCACACCCAGAACACAAATCGGCCTCAAGCCTCCGAAGCCCAACTCACAACCTAGAGTCATCTATTATCATTAGAAAGCATGACACAGCAACGGCGACCTAGTTCCTTGTCGCTGTCCATTGGACTTTGCCTGGCATTATTGGCTTCATTGCTTCAAGGCGCAACATCCCAAATTTCAGATGTCGAGCTATGTGCATGTTCCCCCCGAGTGTACGAGTTGACATTCGACTTTGATTTGGAGTGCGAGCCAATCAATGTTGATTTTGATAGTGGTGGTATTGCCGACGCGACTTGTCATGTCAATGGATTCGACAACATCAATGTAACTGATCTTGTTCCGGTAGCAGTTTCCAGTGTTCAGCTGATCGAGATTGGACAAGGCGGAGCTCCCATTGCAGTTGAGCAATACACAGGAGACTACCGTGATGGTGATTCCATTGAATATGAATCCATTTCATTCGAAGGAGTTGTAGCACCTCGTGCGTTCCAAGTACGAGCTCTCGGGAGGAACGAAGGAGGAGACCCATTGGTTCTTCAGTGGGCTGTTACCTATAGCAACAACTGTGGTGTCTGGCCTGTCCTCGAAGTCAATGACAGTGTTGGGTGGACTATCTTTGTAAGTAACTGGTGTGTGGCTGTGATTTCTCTCTTACTTTTCGTTTCCTGCCATGCTAACGTCGTGCTCTCTGGCACAATTCTCAGACCGGTTTGGCCCGACCTCTGGCAATCGCTTGTCCTGCTGTAATCATTCCCGAAACTGACGAACCCACTGCTAGCCCAACCGTGACCCCCACGCTGCCTCCTACTGATCCACCAACTGTACCCCCCACATTATCACCAACTGAGACGCCAACAGTGCCACCCACACAATCCCCAACTGTACCGCCCACTATTGCACCGACTGGTTCTACTCCTTCACCAACTTTCTCTCCCTCAGAATCTCCAACTGGGCCACCAACAATTTCCCCAACTGGATCACCAACTGTTTCCCCAACCAAAGAACCAACCGTGACTCCTGGAGTTCCTTCTATGGCGCCAACCACCTCTCCACCCACTACTGAGGCTCCTTCCGATCCACCCACAACAGAGGCTCCTACCGTTCCTCCAGAAATGTCATTCTCTTACTCATTTTCCTACGACTTCAGCTTGGATGAATTGGAGGTGGAACTATCTTCGGAGGAGGAAGAGTTTGGAAGAGACGACGCCAGCGAAGAAGATCACGTCGAGCCTCCCTGCAGAAAAAGGAAGATCAGAAAGGTCAGGAGAGTCAGAAAGAGCCGTGCTCTCTTGGATAAACCCCCCGCAAAAAAGACCGCAGCCAAGAGGAAGACAAAGAATGCCTCCGAGTTTGACGCTCACGGTGAAAATGCCACCATGCCAACTTTCGAATCCGTTGATGAACCTGATGTAATCGAGTCTTTTGATGACCTTCAAGTGTATGAGAGTGGTGACGAGATGATTATGGAGTCGATTTCTGGCTCGGAGTCAGAAGAAGAAGAGGACGAATACGAAGAGTACGAAGAGATCGAAGAGATTGTAGTCTGTCCAGGAGACGACTTGTACGAAGTTTCGAGTACCAGCAAGGGCAAGGGTGGCACCAGCACCGGCTACACCACCAGCAAGGGTTCCAGCTATAGTACCAGCAAGGGCTCCAGCTATAGTACCAGCAAGGGCTCAAGTGCTAGCAATGGATACAGCACCAGCAAGGGCTCAGGCACGAGCATGAGTCTCAAGGACAAGAGCAATGGAAGATCTACCTACAGCTCCAAGGGAAAATCCGATTACAGTCTCAAGGACAAGAGTAAAGGAAAATCCGATTACAGCTCCAAAGGAAAATCTGATTACAGCTCCAAGGGAAAATCTGACTACAGCAGCAGCAAAGGAACGAGTGCTGACAAGAAATCGCGTCCTTCGGGCAAGGGCATGAGCATGACCAGCAAGGCCAGTGGCTACACGATGAGCTATGACGATGAAAGTCAAGCAGAGGATAACGCCTACATAAGTGATTCAGAAGAAGCCGAGGAAGATGACACCTACTACACCAGCAGCAAAGGTTCAAAGGGAAGTTCAACCATTGGCTCCAAGAGCACAAGCAGCAAAGGTTCGAAGGGCAGCTCCAGCAGTAGCTCCAAGGGCACCAGCAGCAAAGGAAAGACTGCCGAGAAGAAGATGCGCCCTTCAGGCCAGGGCATGAGTATGACAAACAAGGCCAGTGGCTACTCAGAGGATTTCAATCCAGAATACATGGAGCATGATAGCTCTGAGGATGAAGAAGACAGCTACTCCAGCAAAGGTTCGAAGGGCAGCTCAAGCAGCAGCTCCAAGGGCACCACCAGCAAAGGTTCTTCGAAGGGCAGCTCAAGCAGTAGCTCCAAGGGCACCACAAAGAGTGCCGAAAAGAAAATGCGCCCTTCAGGCAAGGGCATGATCATGTCAAGCAAGGCGAGTGGCTCCATGATGGACTCTGATGATGAAGACTACCCAGAAGATAGTGAAGACGCTTACATCAGCAAAGGTAACAAGAAGCTCGGAAAGAAGTCAGCAAGAAGGGACCAGACGTCAAAGCTTCGCAACACCAACAAGCTGATCCACCGGTACTAAACACTACCGTACTACACACCATGAGCCTTCAGAAGATTGACTCATTTGATGGAGAATCATTCATCGCCGCATAATTCATAATCCTTGTGATCGCCAGAGAAGACACATTCAGTAAGTTTATAACAGAAAAATACATGCATCCAGAGACAGTAGACTGTAACAGTATAAGAGACGTCCAACCAACTGTGGTCTATCTAGCTAGCTAGCTATACATGTAGCTATGCCGTAGAGTCGACTAGAGTTCATAATCGGAAGTCAAGATTGTAAGAGAACGTTGAACCAGCACAATGTGACTTGCCAGCCAATATCAGATGATTGGATGATTCAATCTAAAGTGGCGACACACCACCAACTTTCTGAATCCGCTTCGAAGGACTGTAGATGACTTCAAGCAGCGCTCTCTTTAGTGCTTCCTTTTCACATGGGAAAGGCTTGAAAAGAAATGCATCCGCGCCTGCTTCATAGAATGAAACCTCTGCATCGTTTGCCGACAACCCGCATATTCGACTCGTGACGCCTTTAGCTCGCAATGCCCTTGCAGTTTCCGAACCAAGAAGCTGCTTTTCGATGGCTGACATGTACTGATCTAAAAAGATGACATCAAACTCGTTCGTTTCGCACAGGCGTATACAACTTTCCCCACTGGCTGCTTCCTGGAAAAGGTGGCAGTCGGAAACGAGTGGGTGAGACGACACTTCCCAAACTCAACGCCACTACCATGGCACCGCTAAAGATTATCGTAGCCTTGATGTCACATACATGTACTTCCCATCCCGGTGCAATGCGTCGCAACGACCGGGAGAAGAGCTTCCGCAGAATTGTGTCGTCGTCCGTGAACTTGCAAGTAAGCAACGAAGAAAGAAGTGAGCGAAGGCGCTGACAACCAGCCAACCAAGTGCTGTGCAAGTACTAACCAGGACTTTAAGTGACTCTGGCAGGTCTTTTGGAGTGTTTCGGGGGTGGTAGGATTGGCCATGCTGATGCTGTGTTCCTCCACGCGATGGCCGCTCCGGGGCTGGCGAGAGCGCCGCAGGAGGCTGAGGTGTGGTTTGATCGCAATTATCAGTCTCGTACTCGTCCGGGGTATTCTGAACATTGGCTTCCTCCACGTAGATGGATGCGTCCCCATGTTCGGTAGCTGTTAGGTTGCCATGGGTCTCTGTACCGGTAGCTCCCAACGGGTAAGTCTGACGCTCGTCCCAAATGGTTTCATCCACAGGAGGGGTGCGCAAGTCTACGACGAAGCGCGTTCCCGGGCATCCTTGCACGCCGCTGTCGTACTCCTCATCGAGATAGAGTTCTCCCCCTATCAAGTTGGTCAAGTGCTTGCTGTTGTTTCACAGCGCAGTGATAAGGTCAACGATTGTCATGGATCCACGCAGTAAAGATGTTTGCACGAATTAACTTACCACAAGCACAACCCTATGCCAATTCCCTATACAAAGTTCAGCCGAGAAAGCAAGACGAGGCGAAACGAGCGGCTCGATGAGAAAGAATTCAATCGATACAGGAGCATCAGGTTACGAAACAACAGTTGAATCCAGTGGCGTGCCTGATTCAGAAGGTCCAATGATTCCTGGAATTTGTCAAACAAGTTTTGACGTTTCTCAGGCGGTATACCTGGTCCTGAATCTTCTAAATGGATCTGCACGGACTGTGCCCCGTTTGAGGCTTCGATAGTTACACACTTGAGCTTGATAAAGCCCTTTTGAACGAACTTTGTTGAGTTCATGGCAAGATTCATCACAATCTGCTTCAGCCGAAGCCGATCGCTCATGACAACAATATTTGGTGGGCATTCCATCATTATTTTCACCTTGTTGCCCCGGAGGTAGAGGATACTGGCAACCGGCTCAAACACGTCCCTCAATATATCTGTTGGTGCCATCGTGGCTTCCATTTGTTGATTGGCTGCCCGATGCTGTGCGTGCACGTGTAGAGATGATACTTCGTCAGATTGAATCATTCGTAATACTTCGATCTGACTGAAAGGAAAGGTACTCTCCCCGCAGCACTCACCATATCAAGCTGTTCTCGGTGGAATTCAATTCGGTATCAGGACAAACAAAATAAGATGCATAGAAATGCATTCTTCAGCCGAAAAGACGCACCATATTTCGAAGAAGCTGATCGTGGAGAAGCAACGTGGAAAATAATAAGCACACTATGGCCAGACGCCAAGGACATAATGTTTCAGACCAAAGGCTTACCTCGTTTATGAACTGCAAGCTCGAATCCACAATTTGCAAATCTGCAATCATGTTCTTCTTGTCCTCACTCGTCTGAGTCGGTTCCTGGGCAGCCGCTGTCACGAAACTAAGGGCAGCGATCGCGCTCGACAATGGATTGCGGACCTGCGAGTTTGGGAGGTTAGTACGGTATGGTGCTCTCCCGACAGAACACGGACATGCCATTAGAGGCTTACCTCATGCTGCGCAGACGAGACAAAATGTTAAACCGGGGGTGAGTGGTTCATCAATGGGGTCACTTGCTTGATGCTTCATCATGTGTTTTGTGCTTACTGCAACATAATCATTGAGCTGCCGTTCAGCGAGGGCCTGTTGCCTCGCTGTGTCGACCACTATCTGGGCCTTCTCAGCATTGACCTTCTTGACATGACTCATGTGAAACCAGAAACAGGTACTCAAGATGAGAGAGGCCATCGCTATGATCACACCACCAACAACGACAATACCAATTTGGGGCTCATAGGTATCAGGAAGTGCGACCACGACAACTTTCCATTCTCTATCCGCTATTGAGACCTTGCGCAAAGCAAAGGGAGTCTTGACGCTGGCTTCAAGGTCTACCAAGGAGAGTTCTGGCAAGCCACGAAAGGTCACCACACCATCAGGCTGTGCGTAAGATGTGTGGGCACCGAGGAAGACAGGATCCTCATCCTTGTGGGTGGCATCATAGATGTAAAAAGAAGCAGAGTTGGAGGCATCTGCATTGGTTCGAGCAAGTAGCGCAGGCATACGAATCACCATCAGGGAAATGGCGCTGGGCTTGGCAACAGCACCAGTAGAGTTGTGCGGGCTCAAAGGAATCCCAGGATGGTGGATGATAATGGAGTAGGCATTGGGATCTGTTTCTTGAACTAGCTTCAACCGATCCGTGACACTGGGCAACCAACTGGAGGTCGCATGTTCAATGGTCTTTTGCTGCGTGGGGCTCGAGTACAGGTCCAACTCAATGGCTGCCTCGTTGCCCACAACCGGTTCTGGAAAAGATGGCAAACGATTAATCGAGTTGTGATGGACGGATGGAAGCAAGGGAGGAGAGTAAACTACAGTACGTAGGTCAGCACTTACCAACGTAGTGTACGGGCCAGTAGAAGTCCCTTTCGTCTTGTGGCTCTACTTTGACCCCTTCATCGTCGATAAACAGCCCGACAACGCCTCGATAGTTTACATGCGGATATTTGTCTTTGTAGAAGCTTCGGGATGATGCTTCCACCGCTTCTCGTTCATCACGTGAAACTCGGGGCATGAACTGAGCACTTTGAAACTCGAGGCCAACTCTCCGGATGTGAATATAGAGCTCACGGAAGTCTTGTCTGCTACAGATACCCAATACATTACTGCTGCCATTTCGAGCGCTGACACCTTCACGAGCACGGCACGACTCCACGATCCACAATCCAAACAACTCGTAGTCATGGAATGCATCTTGCAGCTTGACCACAAACTCAGAAGTAAGCTGGTCGAATTGATTCGCTTGGTCCTGTTTGGCGTGGAGTATGCCAATACTCAAAAATGCAGCGCTGGCACCGGCACCGACCAAAAAGATGAGGAAGGCAAAGATGATGCTTCGTTTCCCCCCACCACGGGCGACGATATCGCTGTTCGAGCTGCTTGATGCGTTGTCCATCCTGCCCGGAAAGGTGGCAAAGCCATCAGTTGCTTGAGTGGTATCTACCAAGTCAATCAAGTGGACGTTGGATATGCCACTACCACGGAGTAAGTCAGAGGTGTTTTGCATGTTCTTGTTAGAAGATGATGAATGGCGCCTTCCTCGTTCCAAGTCCACTATTCTGGTGGGTGCAGTTGGGCTGCCTCCACCTGTCTTAGACGATTTTGAGTGTGCACTCTGTGACATGCTGTTTCCTCTTCTCGACGTTGTCAGTTACAATTAAAAGCGTGAGTAAGTTCGGAGGAATGTTGAAGAAGAACCAACGAAGGTGAGGTAGCTACCAGGTTTGGCTTACTGGTACGGGTATGCTCGAGAGGAAAACCGGATTGGTCCTCTCTGTCCTCGGTCTCTCCTTGGTCCTTGGTGTCGATGCTCCTCGAAAGACACTGTGGACTTCAAGCAAATGCCTTCTTTTTATGGATTTAGAAATTGAGCAAGGTTCAACAGTCTAATCAAGCGAGGACTATTGGCTTCAGTGGATGTTGATCCTTGCTGCTATCGCCTTGCAATGATAGAGGGTGCTGCTGTCCAGAGGTCGAAGGTATCCCTCATGCGCCGACCCAAGCAATTCGGTGGCCGAAGGCCGAAGAGAGAAATCGCGGTGAGAAGAGTGAGGAGCGAGGTGGAATTGGGGTGTACTAGTACATACGTACATACATACCCTATGTAAGCAAATGTAGCAGTACTCAAACTAACAGTTCAACATAATAATTAAATGGATGTTGAATGAGACAATTTGGTCATTAATTGAATTGCTCCTCGAATAATTCACGACAGTTCACTGAAATTGAGACATTAAACAGGCAACTTTCGTCGACGTTCATCAAGAGCATTCAGCAAGGTAAGGTTGGAAGTTCATGCTTTACCCCATCTCTTCGATGCTATGCATACTGTAGGAGTAAACTTCAACGTACTGGAGCCACTACTACATGTACCGGTAGTACATGTATGTGTGTAAATAGAATTCTATTTTAAGGCTATTCATACCAGGGCGTGGTACTCACACTGTTTTAGCATGTTTAAATGTGAGTATGGGTACTGAGTAGTACTCACAATTCCAAAGTCAAGTGAGTATGGGTACTGGGTAATACTCACAATTCCCAGGGTCAAGTGAGTACGGGTATCATGTGAGTACAGGTACTTTGTGGGTACTATAGAGTACTCACTGAGTACTCATAAATCAATTACTTAGGGAAATTATCTAGGTTTTTCTAGTTCTGGGCTGGGGGCTCATCAATCTTGTTGTAAAGGTCCACCATGGCATCAATATCACTGTCATAATCCTCCTCTTCACATCTGCTGGCAGTTAGCTTGAGGAGATCCTTGGTCCTAATACTCACCGAGTACTCACTGGTACTCACTTCGAAGTACTCACCGAAGTACTCACCGAAGACTCAAAAAGTACTCAAAACCCGGAGTCATGTGAGTACGGGTACTGAGTAATACTCACATTTTCTGAGCTCATGTGAGTATGGGTACTGAGTATACTCAGTACTCAGTACCCGTACTCACATCGAGTACACGCAGCGTGTATTTCATGTGAGTCCCACACCCTGATTCATACTCAGGCTGAGTACGACTGTCCACCGTGTAGTACATGTATGCTCCGGTACCAGGTACTAGTATGTCATAGCTACCAGTAGATGTACCGCTCCGGACCTCTGTGGAAACTCGAGTCGTGCTACCGAACGTCTCCTAAATCCTTTTGATCGTCTCCTATTTAATGGATTTCGTCTCCTAAAAAGAGGAGACGAAACGGATCGTCTTTTAAATCTTTCGTCTCCTCTTGAATCGTTTCCTATTTTCAAGGGATATTCTCCTATTCTCAACGGATCGTCTCTTAAGTGTACTATGTAAACTGTATGGTATCTTCTCTTAAAGCTTTCGGATCGTCTCCTATTTCCAAACCATCATCTCCTAATTGGAATATCTCCTACTGAATCGTCTCCAAAATATAGGAGACGATTGCTTTCATTGCATAAATCATTCGATTGTCTCCTATGCCTCGGTGTATGGTCTCTTAAAAGTATTTTGCCACGAATGACGTTTCCACAGAGGTCCCGGTACAGGCTCATGTACATCAATCGGAGCGGTCTAGGTGTGTACGTGTGTACTCTACTAGCTACTAGCTAGTAGTGCCGGCACTGGACGACGGACCAGAAAGCTGATGAGGTACTCCCAGTACTCCGAGTACCAGTCGAGGTGGGCCGGTCGGTGTGCGCGCTTTCATGTTAAGGTATTGTACCCTCTTTGACGAGAGGGATCCTCGTCATTATCACCAAGTCGATCGTTCACCGAAAGGAGATCAATAGCACTGCATAAATTGTTGTCAAGGCTCTTTTTGAATCAATCATCCGCTACGGCGACTGTGGAATTGCTTGATTTTAAAATTTGATATGCGTCTACCGGTATTATATTCAAAGCACCGACAGCTGTACCGATATGCATACCTGAACCTGCAAACATTTGGACCAGCACTGATTTCTAAAGATCTGCTTTTGTGCTCGTGTACTAGTACCGGTACATACCATACAGTACCCGGTACGGGCAGGACCTACCGTACAGAGGCCTCGATATTATCCGGGAAGTTGGGTAAAAAATAAAGATCCTTTTTCTCTTGGTTGAAAAAGAACACTTCAAGTTCAAGAAAAGACTTAAAAATATGGGGCTGGTGAACAACGATTCGATTCGACTCAATCGACTCGACTTAACGAAATCTCGATTCGATCACGTGCGAAGCTCGAGTGCTCTCAAGGCTTAGTTTAGGATGCCGATACTGTGCTACTGTATCCAATCACTGGGAATGGCTCGTACCTGGTACCGCAGGATGCAGCCCTCGCAAACAATGATTGTAAAGAGCGATACGTACCTTGCAGTGCCGGTAGCATCAGAAGACTCGATTTGACTCCGTGCAGCCAGTATCCCGCTTGGAACTTTCTCATCCACAACCCATTGCACGCCTTTTCTTGGCAAAATCTGAGCACTAGCCAGCTAGCTACTGTAGCTTGATAGAAACATCTCAACTTGGAATCATTGATGGGAGAGGATGTAATGAATCCTTGCTGAGAGGAGAGATTGTGAGGGAAGTTTCCTAGCTACCGTAGCTACCGGTAGATTTGAGAGGCGCGCCAAGTCATAAATCTCCTCAAACCTCATGGTGATTAGTCGTTTGAAAGCGAAACATACCGCCAGCGGTTTCACATCATTGTGTCACTTATTATATCTATACTGCAAATCCGTATACGAATATTAGAAGATGCGTTGCTAAATAACTCATTTTGCGGTTGTTCGAAATGGAGGGAGCGCGATTTAGTGCTAAATCTAACCTTAAACCCCATGTGCAACGGATGTGGAAGCAGACCACATGGCGGTTGATACCCTGATCTCTTGTCAACTCCCGCAATGAAACAGATTTCCCCGTTTGGCGGCAATCGGAGGGAAGATCCAACTAATCTAAAGGATCCACGCACCGGGAATTACTTTCCTAAAATCACCCGCCACTTTATCTTCGTGGATCCTTACGGCGAGTATTCGTTTGCGGTCGGAGACCCCAATCAAGCAGAAACGGTACGCCAGGAGACCACCGCTGCCTTTCAGAAAAACAATGCTCACACAGACGAGGCACCTGCAAACCCGTGATTTTGCTTATCAACGGAATCCTAATCCAAGCTTAGCTTATCAACGAATGGCATATTATGTTACAAGAGACATTTAGGGTTGTGTCGCCGGGGTTCCTAAAAGCGTCCGCTACGCCGCTGCCCCCGACAAAATATAGAGCTCTCCATCATGGAGCGACATACAGAGAGCGATAATCTATGCTCAGGATCATGGGCGTGCCCGTCGTCGCCAGTTTCTTTTGCACCTGGCTGGCCCACCTATACTGAAGCCAGGGCAGTCTTGGACGGGCTTTGAACAACCACTCCTGCCTAGTGGCGGATTCTTCTTTGTCCAATTCGTACTCTACCTCTCCCATCATCAGAGTTCTTGGCCTTCTTGGTCTTCTTTGCACTTTTCTTGTCATCCTCATCCGAGTCCTCTGAGTCGTCACCACGACCCCACTCCATATCCACTTCATAGTCGAGATCATAGTCGTAACTGAACGACATTGCCAGCGAAGGAGATTCAGTTTCCTCTGGTGACAGACTGGGTCTCTTCGTAGGGGACGGGGTTGCAGGTGTGACGGTGGGTTGAATCGTTGGTGTCTTGGTCACCACCTTCATGGTCGGAAGAAGCGTTGGGGGGGATGTGGGGTCTGGCTCCTTGCCTCCGCCCTTGGGGCTTTTCGTAGGCGGGGGCGTCGTCGTTGGTTCTAACGTTGGTGACTCATCAACAACTGGCGATGTCTCAACAATGGAGGGCAAAGCGGTTGGGAGAAATGTTGGGCGAATGGTCGGCATGTCTGTTGCTACAAGGGTAGGTTCTGGGGTCTTCTTCGGTCGATTAGTGGGAGCGTCTGTAACAATTTCCGACACTGTTGGCTCTGTCGTAGGCTCCACAGGCTCTGCTGTAGGCTCCATGGGCTCGATAGTCGGTACCGCAGGAACGGGATCGGTCCCCTCTATCGTCGGTTCCATTGTTGGGGCTACCTCGGGCATGGTTGGGGCAAATGTCGAGAGGGGGGCAGCTGGACATACTTCAGACCTGGGCAAGCCTAGATCAGACTACGATATTGATATCAGGGCCGAGCCAAGAGTAAGGGTACGAGAACATGCAAAGATGAATCCTGCCCAAACAAGGACAACGGACTTACAAATTCAGTCCAGCCAAAGGACTCTCCTTCTTCCAGCACAGGAAAGACATCGCAATCATTAGTGAACTTGATCGCCCATACTTGAACTAGAGATGAGTTTCCAGCATTTGTTCCGGTGATGGTGAGTTGAATAGACTGAGGCGTTTGTGTCGAGTTTCCGAGCGCTGAGATGGATGAGTATGTAAAGGTGTCTCCAGTAACAAACTCTCCTTCGATTTGACTCTGTGCTATTGGAATACGGTCGACATCCGCTTCGATAACAGATATCGACTGCACTGCTATCGGTGTCAGGTCCTCCACATCCGCCGAGAAGGACGTGATGAAGCATGTCACTTCGGATATTCCATCTGGGTAGTCGTTGGTAGCACGAGGACAGTCCAAGCTAAAGTCGAATGTGAACTCGTAGGTCGACGGTGAACACGAACAAAGCTCTTGGCCTGAAACCATCTCGCTAGACAAACCAACCAAGAGAAGGGAAACAACGGTCCACATGGTGTTCTGGAGAGTCATCTTGGCTGCTTTCCTGGTTGTATGGCAGCGCCTTCTGTGTTGCTCATGGCTTGACTCTGTGGCAGCACGCAATGGATTGGCTTCCTGACACATCCACCGACGCTCTACTCCGTCATGAGAAATCATTTTCTTCGTTGTTTTCGAGAATTGTTCAAAGGTCTGGTCTAAACTCGCCTGGTGTGGAAACCTCTCGCCGGTTAAGGAAACTTATGCGAGATCGATGTCCTGTTGGTACCAAGACGTTCGAACTGTATTAGCGGGCCACCAAAAAGAAAACATGTGATCTGCTCTCTCTTTAGCAATTTTG